CCCTCGCCCCCTGTCTGGCCTCGCCCCCTGGGCACCCCTCGCCCCCTGTCTGGCCTCGCCCCCTGGGCACCCCTCGCCCCCTGGCTGGCCTCGCTGCTCTTATACTTGTGCTGCCACTGACTGCCCCATGCTTTTCACTTCCTGTGTGCCAGGAGACCCGGACCCACAGCGCAGGACGTCTGTGAAGAGGAGAACGGTGCAATACCTCCAGCACGTGGAGGCGCTGCTCTCACTGCAGGACCCCGCAGGCTCCAAGGACCAGGACACGTAGGTGGAGGCCCGCAAGCAGACGCCCCCATGTCCAAAGAGACTGTCTGTCACTCCTGCAAACCAATGAGCACAATGTAAAAATAAACTCTAAGCATTGGTAATAATTCCAGTTAGACTTCATTTGGCTAACTTTCCAATGAGCCCTGAAGCTCTATAACTTTAACTTGATTTCTTTGTTCCTTCAAACTTAGTCTTGTTTGTTTTTTAGTTATATTTTCAGTGTAAGTAATGTTTGTGTATTGGCTCATCTGAAGGATTTTGTAGAATAAAACGAAGTCTCTGATTGTATTGGCTCGAATTGTAGTAACTGCTTTAGTGCACTAGGTGTCACTGGCAGCATGAAATAATTTCCACGCCAAAGTGCTCCAAAACAATGGCCAAATCTCTAAGAATAAGATTCCTAGGAAGACCCATTCAGTCACCTCTCTGCTTGCCTGTGTCGCTGGTGGGGGGGGGGGGGGGGGGGGGGGGGGGGGGGGGGGGGGGGGATAGGAGGGAAACGGCGATAAGCAAATCGGATGAGAAAAAGGCAGCGGTGATTAAGGGATAAGCACAGATGATCCCTCAGGGCTCTCTGCACAGAAATGACACACCCCCATAATTTCAGTCTCTCTCAGCTGTTGTTTTTGTTGATTGGAGGGAGTCAAAAAGGCCAGGAACAATGAGGTGCAATTGGGGGGGGGGGTCGCAAATACAGAAAGCACAGGCAGTGTGGATGGTGTCACTACATTAGCATGCAGTGTGTGTCAGCCCTCTCTCCACTGCCTCTCCTTTTCCCTCTCTCTACTGTCCAGGACAATTATGCCATCAACACACTCCAGCCAGAGAGAGGATAATTGCAAACAGAAAGTGTGTGTGTGTGTGTGTGTGTGTGTGCGCCTGCATGTGTGTGTGTATGTGTCTGTGAATATAAATGTGTATATAAACTAAGACCCTCTTTACAGTTGCTTCGTGTGTGTTTGTGTGGATTGATGAAACCATGTGTGTCTGTGTCTGCGTGCATGCGGGGGGGGGGTCGCAGTGAAGAGTCGCAGTGCAGCCGTTAACTTGGATAAGTACCTCTGTAATAAATGGAGATGTGCACGGATGTCTGGATACTCCAGGACACGTGGTGAGGCCTTCAGTGACACCCAGAAAGTGCTATGATGACTGGGGGGGAGGGGGGGGTGCTTTCTGTGCTGTTCCACACAGACACACAAACACACACATATATAGAGCTTCTTCACTCTTCCAAGCCAATCATTTACAGGCAACATAGAATTGACATGCACACATTTCATCCCTGGCTTCTTAGCCAATCCGATCCCTCTCCCCGTGTGTCCCTCTGCCCCAACTTCTCTCCTGCTCGCATCCTCTCATTTACAGTCCCTCTCTTTGTATCCCCACTCCCTCTCCTGTCACCTTGCCCAAGGCTCTGAGTGCACCCCCGCCCCTCACCCGATGAGAATCAATGGACAAACACTTTTGCCCCCCCCTCCCCTGCCCACTCCCCCCATCCCTTGATCTCTCCCCCTGGATGCCACTTGCTGTTTGGTATAAAGCAGGAATGTTATTTTGCTGTTTTTTAAGTCATTTGTATTGCTGTATTTGGTATACAAAAAAGCATATAGAATATTCTAAACTGTACTTTTAAATACCTGCAGTCTGTGCATGAATTATTTAAGGATTTTGACAATCGAATATTTTATGTATGTGTTTTTATTTCATTTATATTGTTTTATGAATTAAATTTGAAAACAGTGAAGAGAATAGTAATTGCAAGGCAAAGGATTAGTGAATACAGGTTACAATATACGTGGATTAGTTTTTTAAAAACATTTTTACGTAGACAAACAGCAGGCCAGCTACATTTGCTGAAGACATCATAAACTGTCATGTACTATACATAAAGCCCATCACAATCTATAAAGAAATGCAAAAAAAATCCATCTCTCATGTCATGTGTAATCATTATGCGGTTGAAGTCACATTTGCAGAATGGTTGTTTATGTTCTGTTGTATTGATCATTTCGGCCCTTATTTTTGAAAAAAATAAAACCGCTTTTGTCATATGCCGCGTTTCCATAACAACGCGAACACCTTTTTCTGCTATTGCAGTTGTTCTGAAAAGGAAGAATATTGCAGTGAAGTGGGTGAATGAGAGGGAGGCTCAGAGTGGAATAGTGGATATTGAAAGCTTGCATGGGGGGCAGGGGTACAGATAAAAAGAGATTTTAGAAGTGAGACTGTGTGTGTGCGGAGTGGGGGGGTGGGGGTGGGCTGGTCTGTCACTGAACAGTCCAAGTGAAAGCTTTGCTAAGTGAACAATGACGTGGTCGACTTGTAGCCTATTACATGACTGATATCTGTCGTGTTCAGACCGCAAAGTTTCAACAACCAGCGTAATTCCAAGGTGTATCTTTGAACCATCAACCGTATACATTTCAGGTATAAAAGCAGAAACTGATTATCATAATATCGCCGGGGCATAAACTACTTTTACATTGCTTAACCATAATTTTATCATCGCGATCATTTCCCAAGCACCGGGTCGTTGTTGTTTTACCATACCTGGTCCTTGTAATAATCTCTCCGTCAGCTGGCTCTCCCGTTACATACACGGTGAGACACACGAGCCGCGTATCCGTATGTCGACACGCGGGCAGCTGTGTGACTCCTGTGTGTTTGCATTCACCTCATGACAATTTGCACGGTATATCTGGGTGTGCTGATGGGCATTTAGCGTACGCTAACATAACAGAATAATACTGCAACGGGTTAGAGGCATTGGATATGGTTACACTGCCTATAGGCTATGAACATTATCTATTATGTAACACGATATTAAACCAAAATGTCCTGCAACAAAGCCGTTAAGCCTTAGTAAGGCCGCATTTACATTAGCACTCTTATATACATAATATTAACAATAATATTAATATAATCAATATCGCAATATAGTAATATAGTGAAATATTTCTTTATGATATGCAGGATTAACAGTGTACGTGATGCATATTCAACTTTTTAGATTAGATATGTTTATGACGGTAATTGTGTGTGTATGTGTGCACCATGCGATGGACTGACATCCAGGTCAGGGTGTCCCCCTGATCTGTGCCCTGTGCTTCCCAGGTTCCATGCTTTACTGGATAAGATCTGAAAAGACAAGTAAAGACAAAGTTTGACTAACGGGACAGATCATACACCGAACCTACAGGATGCCAGTAACGCTCGATTTTAGACCAGGTCGATTCTGATTGGGAGTCGTTAATTAGCCGGTTCGATGCCCCACGTGGAGGGGGGTGGGGATTCCCGGCGTGAGTGACGTGGGGTAAAAATGGGGAGAGGGGGTCGGGGACGGGCACTGGGTACGCTGTTAACTCGATGGGAGGGGCACCCAGCGCACCTCAACGCCTACTGTGAAATTAGTGCGCTCCAGAACAAGGGTGACAAACAGTCAGACAGATTGAAAGCACAGCAATAACGGGAAATACGTTAGCGTTTGTGCTGGCCGCCATAACGATTAAGACTAAATAAACAAGAGTAAAGTCCCCGGGAGAAATTATTATACAGCGGACATCGAGTAAGTCTGTAAATACTTTTTATTGTATTATTTTTTAAAATAATTGTCTATATTCATACGTCTTTGGTCTGTAGATATGTCTGAGCCATGTATGTAATCAGCTGCTGAGTGCTTGACAGTAAAAAGCTTTTAGAGTTTTTTGGGGCGAACAGATGTTTCGTTGTTGAGAAACCTATAATCGCATAAAAACATTTTTTTGCATTTAGTTATTCTGTTTGTGTATTCCATCATTCCTCCTCATTTATTGTTCATTCCTGTTACGTGTAATATTATTTTATTGCTTAAAAATAAGCTGGTAAATTCACGAATTGTTGTTTATGATTTTGGATACTTGATAACCGAATATTTTTGTACTGGATTAGATCGCTCGTTTTGTAACAGATTTGCTCCATATGTTTCGTTCCATGGCTTATCATGTAGACCGCTTCTGTTATGAGGGAATGAATGATGGATTCATTATAGTATTCCGTTTACATTACGTTTTTTTCTGCTCTTTTATGTTAGATACAATAAATACAGAGACCTATAGCGAAGATGAACATTAAATGAACGTGAAATAGCTGTATAGTGCACGGGATTGGATAATAATGTATAAATAGTGCAAATTCTTTCTCCAAAAAGCTTTCTCATGCGAACATCTGTTCATTCAGTGGTGATGGGGAACTGAGGTTACGCTGTTAACACAAAACGGAGCAGAATGTCGCTTCTCGTTTTTGCTTCCTCTCCTTTCCAGTATGGTGACAATATTAGAAATACTGTTGGATATTTCAGAACTTTTATGTGTCACTTTGGGAGTTTAAATAATAAGCGGATGTACAGTAGTATATATCATATATGTGCATACACTAGAGAATTAAAAAAAATATTTTACGCTTGTACCCAAAATGTGTTGTCAGTGGTTGCAGAATTTACACACCTGAAGTGTGAGTAAACAAAGGTAGCAGATGTAAAAATATTACATATAAACATAAAGCAGCAAAATTTAGTATATCCAGAATACAGTCGGATAGAGTCAGATAGATATATGCAAAAATTACACCGCATACAGTATTAGAATTTACTGTATTTCCAGCTCTGAATTGCGATTATTTAATATATATTAAATCACTGTGCTTTTTCAGTTTAACCGCATTGGGTAATTTGATTTATTAGTTGAACTATTTTTGTTATGGATATGTTTTTTTTTTAAGTTCATGTTGTGTGTCTGGGTGTGCATGTGTAAATAGTCTGTATAAACATTGTTACAGCTGTGAGTAGACTGATAACAGACTGAGAGGAAGAGAGGAGGTGGGAAAGGACGACATAAGCAGAAGCCTGCTGTGGGGACACTGATGAACTGCCCATGACGTCATAATCGGCAGTGACTGTGGCACTTTAAGAGTAAATTGTCTATGTTGTGATCAGTACTTGTTGGACAGTATTTATGTGTTTGTTTGTTTATTCTTGATGGCTTGACTCTTTCAGATTCCAGTGGGCAGGTCATTGGGGCTGGAAGAACCTAAATAGTTGGGGTGATGGATTCTTCTTCTGACCCCCTGAGTCAGCAGGCATCCCAGATTTTCCATTATGGCTTATATAGCAGCCCCCCCAGTGCCGTCCCCTCTGCACCCCGCTACTCTGGTGGCAACCCCCCTTCCTACCCCATCACGTCTCACCTCCTGCACTCTGGTGGCCCACAGCAACCAAACTTCTACAGGCACAACCAGTCAACCAGCGAAAGCTTGGATCCCATCCCTGACAGGGAGCATGGAGCTGTGGAGGAGCTGGCCGGAAGGAGAGCAATGGCCCCGGCAGCCTCTCCTGTGCCTCAGTACCCCTCCAGGGGAAAAAAGCGGCCCTCCTTTGAGATGGGAGACTGGCCCCAGCAGCTAGTGAGTGGGAAGAGGGTATGTCCTGAGAGCTTGCTGAGAAGATCGACAGGGAGAGGAGAGGTCGATGGGGAACGTGGGGGGAGGGGTGCTGAGGGGGTGCAGAGGAAGGTGGGGAGAGGAGAGACTCGGGGGAGGCAAGGTGGCACGGAGATCCGGCAGCGCCAGAGGCAGGAGCTGAAGGTCCTTCTGCAGGAGACAAGAGGAAAGCTGCTGGAGCTGCAGGAGAAAGTGTGCAGGGCATACGGGGAGCGGCGGAGCAGCAGAAGACGCGAGGATGGAGAACTGACCCAAGACGATGGGCTGGAGATGTTCTCAGAGGATGAGGATACAAGTGACTTCGGAGGGATGTCCCTCACATGCCCTCTGCATCCTTCAGGAGGCAACAGTGTGGAGAAGAGGACCGATGGCAACCCGGGCAATGGCAAAGCCTCCCAGCAGGGAGCTCCGGGGGAGGGCAGGGTGCTGCTGGATTGCGGCCTGGTCAGGGGCGAGTGGGAGGCTGGGGGAGATGGAGGGCCAAAATTTGCACAGGCCCTGAAGCGGGAGTTGGGCAGCGCTGTGGCCAGGGTCATCGACCGAGTCACCCACCTGTACACCCAAAGCTACCCATCCTCCACAGAGGATCCACCGCCAGCAGAAGGGGTGAGGTCTAAGAAGGAGGAGTTCCCTAAGGTAAACAAGGCCCCGCCCTCCCTGGGGCTACCTGAGCCAGGGCCCTTAGTGCCAAATAGGGTACAAGAGAAGATGGTGCAGAACCCAAATGCCAGTCAAAATCCACTATTCTCTCAACTGAATTCCAGTCTGCACCCCCTGCCACGGAGTCACATCCCTGCCCAATTACCCTCCGAAGCCAAGGACCCTTTCCTCAGCTCCTATCCTCCTGCCCCTCCCCCCATGCCCCTCCCCCTCCTGCACTATACCATGCAGCACCTGTTTGCCCGCTCCCTGTCCAACTTCCCGCTCCACAAAGACTGCCTGCCTACGGACTCCTTCCTGGATTTCAGCTCTCACACCCCATCCTTCCCTCCTATGCCACTCCTGGGGCAGATGGATGCCTCACTCTCCACCCTCGACAGGGAAGGAGGTGGGAGAGGGCAAGCGGGTGGGATGCTGAGTGGGTACATGGATGGGGGGGACTCCTCTATCTACCTCCCTGGGGGGTCGATATCCTTTCACTTGACCCGGTGTGAGATATGCAAACGGCTGGATATAGGACAGGGAAAAGCAGAGCTGATATTCTCAGTGACAGAAGTAGGCAGACCAACATATTCACACAGAGCTGAGCTACACCCTGGCACACATACACAGGCAACAATAAGAGAAGGTGAAGAATAGAGGAGATTGGAGGAATACTGTAGGACAAAATAGAGAATGACTCTGTATTAGTGAGACAGAAGCCCAGGGAAAGGGGATTAAAGAGACGAGGTTGGGGAACAGGCTGATTGTCAAAAGCACATTGTCTCTAAACGTCTTTGGAATAGAGAGAAGAATGGAGGTTCGGAGAATGAGGGTAAGAACATTATTTTGAAGGAGAAGTGGGCATTTATAGTCTGGGCATAGCTGTGCTATCGTGGAGGTTTGCTTGTGCTTGTGCCTGTATGAACGCGAGGAGAGGAGCTCCCTTAACTGGCCGCACTCCCAGGAAGGCCTGTCTCCCTGTCACCTGAAGAAGGCCAAGCTCATGTTCTTCTACACACGCTACCCGAGCTCCAACACCCTCAAGACCTACTTCCCTGATGTGAAGGTATCGTCCCTTTCCTCACTGACTGGTCTTAATTTATAGTTTTGTGTAGCTGCATCCCATATGCTGCAGAGAGCCACATAGCCGCATACCCTATGGTGTAGATTGACACGTAGTTGCGTCCCCTACACTGTAGATAGCTGTTTAGTCACTTATCCTATACAGTTGATATCTGCGTACCTAGGGTTACCATGTTTAGTGAGAAAAAAAAGGATGTGTCCAGGGATCAGAATATTAACGAGTTTTCACGTTCACCGACCAATCAGGTAGCGCTTCTCTCATGAATATTAATGAGTCCCCTACACTATAGATAGCTGCGTAGCCTACCTTGTCACATAGCCCTGTACCCTACACTGTAGATAGCCACGTAGCCAAAAACCCTATGTTGTAGATAACTGCGTAGCACTACACTACA